AAAAATCCTTGTTCCTCTGGGGATTAGAGCTGTGCAAGGCTATGACAAAGCATTCCATATTTCTTGGGCTTCTTAAAGGCATTGTTTTGTTTTACAGATCATTTTAGAGATTTTTTTTTGGGCATTTCTCACAAATCTATACAGTCATGACTAATGGGCACACTAGCTGCTTTCACAGCTAAAGTGCAGAGAGCATTTGCCACTAGAAATATCACAGAGGGCTATACACAGAGAGGAAACCTGGGCTTCATCTGCCCCTGCACAGAGCAAGGCTTTGACATGAAAGCTGTCAGAAATACAGGGAAGAATCTCAAAATCTCACACATTGATTAAGTTGCCACAGCCAAAATAAGTAGCATTCAAAACAAGTCAAAACCCAGCTCCAGGGCTCGAGGGAATGAAAAAGGAAGAGGGCAGGGAGGCCAAATATGTGGGTTGGACAAAGAATGTCTCCTCCAATCTGCAGAGCAGCCCTGATCAGATCTCATGGCTAGTTTATGGATCTGTCAGCACTTCACAAGAAATTAATTGGTGGCAACGATCTCAGCCCCAGGTCATCAGTCCCACAGGTACAAAGCAACCAGAGAACACATTTCCTGATGCTCTGCACCCCCCTAGAGGTCTGAGCTGCTGTCTGAGGACCACAGCAGTCTCCTTTCTTGGCTCATTTGCAAGATAAACATAGTCTGGCCTCAAATGCTGCTCTCTTCCAACTGCTGGTGAAAACTCCAGGCAGCCTGAGAGATTAAAAGGATGATCTAGGGCACTACTCAATCCAAGAAAAATGCTCATATGGGAACACGACGACGTTGTTGTGACCAGAGGGATATTTTCCACTGGATCTCATCCTGCAAGTCCAGATTCAAATACTTTCTAACTTTATTCTTTATCCACAATAACTTCTTTTTTTTTTTTTTTTTTAAATAAGGAGTTACACACTTGGATTTAAACAGATTTTGACAGTCCTAGTTAAACATTGCCTTTCTGCACTTAGAATGACTGGAGATGTGATTGATTACGTGTCAATATGTCTTGGGTTAGAAGCTACAACAGAAAAAGGAATAATTTGTTCTTTTAGAAAGATCTTCCTAACCAGGATAATTAAACAATGCACATTAAATAAAGATTTTGAAGGCTGAAGAACTTGTTGAATGATCACAGCGACACAGGGACAAATTTTTAGTGTTTTCATTGAGAACAATGGCTAGAACAAATTTTTTCTAACTTCTGTCTAGAGTTGGCCAAAACCCCACAGATCTAGAAAACCTTGAACTTTGGAAAAGCTTTGATCCAGTCTAGACTTCATGGCTCTGATCCACTTCAGCTGGGAAAGACCCAAATCTGCTTAAAATATTTCACAACACATCTTTGCCTACATTTTTTTTCAGATAGGTCACAAATACCACAAGTAGAACCACTTCTCCTCATTCATAAGACTCAGGAGCAGAGCCAGCTATTTCCATCTCTAAACCAGAATGTTAAAAAAGGAAAAAACCAAACAAAAGATGAAAGAACAAGCTTTAGATCAGTTGACTTGCTACTAAGGAGCAAAAAAAATAAGCTAAGGTCCTCATATCACACAGCTGGAATGTTTGGAAGAGATTCAAAATGGTGAGAAACTCTTTGTACAGTGTGGAACAGCTTGCAAAGCACAAAATGAGCCACATCACTCCCTTCTTGTTATCTCCAGGAAAACCAAAGACTCATTTGACTACAGTTTCTAAACAAGCATATTATGCAACCCCTTTTTTCCTCCCCTAAGGTAACAGCTTCATTCACTGTGGCAGGCAAGCTGTGATCACAAACCACATAGGAAGGTTGTGGTTTTCAGACAACCTAGCTGAGAGTGCTGAAACTAAAAGTCCAATCTAACCAGGGACAGGAGTCTGACAAGATCCTTTGGCTGCATTTACCACTGATAATTTAAAAAACAAATGAGCTGGATAATTCCAGCAGCAATGGAACTCAGAAGGTCAGATTGTGTTGCTCAGGGTTTTGTCCAGTTGGGTTCTGAAAGCCTTCAAAGGCACAGCCTCCCTGGGCAACCTGTGCCCCTGCCTGGCTTGTCCTCAGCATGAAAATGTTTTTAATTGTTCCAAATAAGTGCTCTGGGAAGACACACTGTAAACAATGGCTGGTGCACCCACTCTCAGAAGGGGTATTCTTCTCCAAAACACCTTTGGAAAGTAGAGATCTGTATTCCTGGGACTCAGGAGGCCAAATTCTTGGCTGCAGTGATCAGCCCTGTCCCACTGAACTCAGGCTAGGTACAGTATTCCCTCTCAGCTGGCAATCCTGGGTTATTATGCACCCAATATTTCTTGACTCAACTCTACGTGCCCGTCGCACAGACAGGCCCTAAAAGTGTCAAATAGGGATAGCAAGAATAACTGGAGAGATGCAGAAACTGCTCAGTTCTCCTGGGAGAAGCACAGATCCACTGTGACCTTGTGAGGGTCCTTCCCTTACCTTTGCAAGGAAACTCCAGGCTGCATATTGCCCTGAGGTTGTGCTGCTTTTTAGCTTCACTGTGTGCAACATCAGAAAGAATCCCAAGAGTCCACTGCAAGGGATGAGGAAAGCTTGTTAATAAAGTATCTTTAATTTCAACTCAGCAACCTCTTACAGGCATCTTGGTTTTCCTGACACAGAAGTGCAGCATTGACCCTGTTTGGAGAACACAAGCTGGTAGACAAAGAGCTTACACTATGTCCAGACACCTCAGGTTTTGTTCAGTCAGTGACTCAAGCCTGAGTAAAGTAAGTCTGATACTCTTATTGCTGGTCTCTAATGAACTTGCATAATCAGGAAAGTAGAGATTATTGGAGATGTGAGGTGAATGTTAACTTCAGGCATTGAAATGGCTCTGAACAAAGGCAATGCCAGTGTTGACAGGAGCCATGCCTGCCTGGCAACTAACTCACTTCAACCTCCACAGAGCCTGGAACTGAGAAAAAAATAACCACTGGAACGTTTCTGCCTGAAGGTTTCAAGCTGTTTAAACCTCATGAAGCCTAAATTCCAATTAGGAAGTCAAATACATTTTACTCTATAGCAAATAGATGACTCAAGAGTGCTGGGAACAAAATACTCCAAAGCACTCTGCAGATATGAAGGGAAGTTTGATTCTAAAGCCATACAGTGCCCATGGATGAGGAGAAGGCTGAGGGACTCAACTCCCCTTCTTTGCCTCCATCTTCAATAGCAGGACCAGTTGTCCTCTAAGTGCCCAGATGGGCAACAAGGATGAAGGACCTCAGGCAACTGCTGTTCCCTGCTCAGCACACTGTTCTGTGGATCAAAAACCCAATAGAGGGGTTTTTGATCCACAGAAGAGCAGGGTAAGATAAGTGCCCAGCAGCAGGAGGTACTGGGGCTCCTGACACCAGAGCCCAAAGGACTAGCTGCTGTGGTTGGAGCCAAGTTAGCACATGCTACTTTATTGTAAAAGCCAGGCCCAAGCTCAGCTCCTTCTTGCAGAGGGTGAAATCCTGAGCAGCAGAGAATCCTGCTCTGAGAAATCAGTGAGTTCAACAGAGCAGCTCTGCCCAAGCTTTTCAAAGCCCAAGAGTTTGTTCCACATCTCCTGAGCTGCTGAGAAGGGCTTTTGGTCAGAGAGATTTGAAAATAATACAGAGATAAAATATGAAAAATATGAAGCAGCTAATTATAATACCTGAAATATTGACATCACAACTCAAATTTATTTCACTAAATCACTGGAACACTTTGCACCTTACCACTAATGCTTCAGACACTCTGCACAGATCTAGCTGCATCAGTTACTCTTACTTTACATTGTAGAGGATTTCCTCCAAATCCCTTAAGTCTACAAAGACACCAGATGACAAGATACAGCAGAGCAACTGAGATGATTGTTTCTCCATTTAACTATTATTTTCCACTTTTACAATGCTATCTACCTCCATACTGAGGTACTGGGGCAATGGAAACAGGAGGCTGAGGCCTCAAAAGGGGTAAAACTCTAATGAAGTGAAAGAGAAGAACATCTGGGCTAGACAGATACCTGTTAGTGCCTGCAGAGAGACCTTGCCTCCAAGAAGAAATAGGTTTTATCTACCTACCTTGCAACAACTTCTTCATTAATACCTAATTTCAAGTTATTTGTAGTGTAGCTAGTCCACCCTTGAAAAAAAAAGCCACTTTCATACCAAAAAACTATGTACTCATGGAAGTTATTTAACAACCATTTTTAATAACCCCTCTTCATGGAAAATCCAGCTACAAGTCAGAAAATCTCTACAGTCAGGAAATATTTTTGTCATCAGTTTGCATGAATTTTTTTCCCCTCTAAAAAGTGCTTCCATTTGGAAAAGGACTGGAGGAGAAAGAGAGGAATAATTTGTTTGGAGATAATGAAGAGCTATAGGAGACACATTTACATTGGTGAGTATCACTCTATTGGCCAGTCAACATTTGCAACTCAAAATAAGGTAACACTTATTAAAGCTTTTCCCTTTCACCCCAAAAAAAGTTCTCTGCCAAATAACAAGATGTACAGGCAATTAAATCCATGTAGTGCTGAAGGGTAACACTTTGTTATCACTGCAAACAGCAAGTTTTACAAGGGCTAATCTGACCTGAGAAGCATTTGAGAGATGCTGTTTATCAAAGCTTGGCTGCACTAAGTAAAAACTATTTTACTGGTGACAGAGAACTCTCCTGATCAGAATGCACTCACTCAAATAAACACCTATACTTCCAGCACTTTTGAATCTCAGGCCTTCCAATGCATGTCCACAGGCATGCACAGATACTGATTCCCTGCAGTTTTACCAGCAGACACTGGTACAACTCAGATTTTACATGCTCCAAAATTTTTAACAGAGAGTCCAAGCTGGAAGCCAACAGGATCTCTTATTTTGCAAACATTTACATTGGCTGTTATAGAGTTTACCTGGCACAGCAGCTGCTATGAAACCTGTAGAAGTAGAGGAATGGGAAGTCCAAGGCACTGAAGAGATCACCTGAGGGACAGAAAATACACCCAGTGGAACACAGTGGGGAAAAATTACCCACTATTACAAGGAGGTGAACAGCAATTACATGAACATTACTAGTTTAACATTGATCTGAGCCTTTACAGCTGGCTGACTTTCATTTCTGGTGCTTCCCACATTTCTAGTGTGTTTAATGATTTCTCTATGACCTTGCTGCTAGCCAGATCCTGCCTTTGGATGAGAAAGGGGAAAGGGGTATGTAAATATCCAGGTAGAGCTCTCCAGTACTGGCATTTTCAGATACCTGGGCACTGGTTGTTCTTGGGAGGAGGATTTCCCAGGAGTTCTCTGGTTTTCAGGCTCTACAGATCTGGGGGAAGCTTCATCTTTCACTTTTTGAAATGCAGGACCATTTTGCTTATGCCTGTGCTGGTGGGGGGATGCTGTATGCACCACCAGGCAAAAGAGGGAAATCAATTTAAATGCTTCTTCCTTTCCTTTTGTGAGTAAATGTCTAATGAATACAACAAACAATCCTTTACCCTTCTAGCTATTAAAACATAACTATGATAAGACTATTAGCCACCACCAAATATTCAATTCCTCCAATTTTACCCTTTGGTTTTTTGCTACTTCAAATCCTGCCATGGACTCAAGCTCTGGGATACATCTTGTGAAAACAACAAAATGAAATCTCTGCATGGTGTTAAGGGCTGTGCAGAGCAGGAACTCAGATCTAGATGGACTGCTGGGACACTGCTCTGAAGCAGATATATTCACCTAGGGAATTCTTGTTCTTTACCACTTCCAAAGGCAATATGGAAAGCTAAAGGAGGAACAACTCAATCCACTTTACCTGCTGGATGGGATGCAGAGGCCAACAGCACCACACTAAAAAATAATAATAAAAAAAGATTAATGACATACTACAGAATTTATGACATGGCCTGAACATTATAACTTGAACAGTTTTGTGTTTGTTTTTCCATGGTGAAACTTATTCCTGCTAACTGAGGCATGGAGATTGCAGAGATTCCACACCTCTCTAGGTAGCTTGTTCCAGGGCCACCCTCTCCTCCCTGTGAAGAAGTTTAGACAGGTTGCTTCTCAAGAAGAAGGCAGGAATTTAAGTCTGAATGTCTTATCCAATGTCTTTGAAAGGCATCAGCTGGTACAGTATGTTCACATTGTCAATCTTTAGACATGTTTTTAAAAGAAGTGGTTGTTACAGAGGTATTAAACAAGGTAAAGTAGATCACTTCCAGCAGGCAAGTCCCCCCAGCACTCCTCCCCACACATGCACACTCTCCCAGCACAAGAAGCCAAGAGGAATTCTCACTAAAGAGGCCAAATTCCTCAGTTTCCTGGTAAAGAGAGAAAAGGAAGTGAAGACCTGTTGCTTTTGACTGAGTAACAGGGAAAACAGGAGACTGGCAGGGCAAGTGAAACTGTATCAACAGTAAGGAAAATTATGACTAAGCCATGATTTTCCACTTTTGCTTTTTACATTTTTAATTTAAAAAAAATAAAAAAACAATAGTGAGATGGGGAAATGCTCCCAGAGAAACCTCCTTCTGCAGGCAAGAGGAATTGATAACCCCACCAGACATCCCCCAGGCCTTGATCCAAGGAAAACACAGGGGGAAAACAGAACCTTCTTTGTGAAGTGTGGGGCAGGTTAAGGCAAAGGGGTTAGATGGCATTAAAGCTGTGCTGTAACTCTGCTCTGAGCAGAGCATCAGTAGAAAAGACAGGAGGATGATGATGTAAAACCAGACTAGGGATTCAGAGGTTTCCAGCCTGGACATCAGGCTGCAGAAAAAATATCCTTATGCCAGATCTCTGCTCTTCTTGTTTCACCCTGTACTCAGCAGTGAAGGCTAGCTCACCTGTGGTTTGCTTTCTGGCTAAAAAGAGGGTTTTGTCAGCAAGAACAGCAATTTATTCCTGCAAAGCTGCCCTTGCCCATTGCAGAAAACCTACTGCAGCTTTTTTAATTTGCAAAATAACAGATGAGCAGCTCTTCCACTAACCAGCTGTAGTTTGGCTGCACAGAGCAGAGCCTTTACCTCACACTTGTGTCAGTGCCATTTATGCACCATTTGAAACTCCCTCACTGTTCAGCCTTTGTCTTCTCCTCAGCAGTGCCTGCTGGGCTCTCTGGCCTGCCTTTGTGAGCAAACACCAACCAGTGACAGACACTGGGATGGACCAAAACTTTCTTCCAGGTTCTCCACAAGAAGTAACATATCCCTGTCTGTCTCACCACAGGAGAAAGCCCAAGATGGGCTGTGAGTCACTTCTAATACACATTATGCATCCTTCAACATGTCAAGTAGGCATTACTACCCCATCCCCACAGGCTACCCCTTGCCAGCTAGCTAGGGGGGAGAAATCTGGCTCCCTGCTTGATAAAAAGTAGAGGACTGGAAAGGAATAAAAAAAACAAGATCATTGGAAAATACACTAGGAAGTAGAACACTTCTACTTCCTAGTAGAAATACTTCTTAGCAGAAGCCAGAGTGCAGGAAAATACTGAAGTAAAAAAAAAGTGCTGAGAACAAGACTGGAGGATTAGAGGGAAGTTCCTGGAAGAACATTTCCCCTCTTCTCTTCATGCCCCTCCCCACCCCACAAAAGGGAGATGGGTGAAGAGGGTGGGGCTGGGCAGTGAGAAGCAACACCACCCCTCCCTCCTCTGCACAGCACAGCTCTGCTCTCCCTCCCACACTGGCTCCTGGTTTGGCTCCCCTTTTAAAAGCCACAGGACAATCACACAGTCAGTGATGAAGGGAGAAGAATGTCACACTTTCAACATCAGCTCATATTTCTCCACGTCTGTTTGGTTCTGGAAAGTTCTTGTTCATGTACATTTGTTTAAGATGTTCTCTCATCCCAAATTGTTCCAGGTTTTAAAACAAGAAACAGAGCATGACATGTAGGCACAGTCTATGTCAGGAAAGTTTGCTCTGGAAAGCCAAGAGAGTTAATGTTTCCTTTTAATCTAAATATATATATTTTAATCTAACATATTAGTACCTTCTAACATCCAGTAGCCTGGGGCAGAACTTTTAATCTGCTCTACCCAGGCAGTTTCCACACTAAGTACAACTGTGCTTTCACATGGAGCAGAAATGCTTTCAACCAACCTATAAATTAGGAGAAATTTCTTCACCAGAGGGGTTACCAAGCTCTGCAAACAGCTGAGTCACCATCCCTGAAGGGATTTAAAAGATGTGGGGCTCAGGGACATGGTTCAGTGGTGGGCTTGGTAGTGTTAAGATCATTGGGTCCCAGCTGTTAACCTAAGGGTCTTTTTCCAGCCCAAATGATTCTGTGATTCTAAACACTACCTGGTTGTGCCCACACAGCTGCTCTCTTTTCCCTGTACAGTCATGTGTCAACTGTCTGATCTAGGTCAGAAATAAGGAGCTCTAAAGGCCTGTTGATAACAGTGCTAAGAGGAGAAAGTTCCACTGATGCCACACTGGCAAGTTCCTTCAGAGATCACAGAATCATGCTCAGACAGACAAGACCAGCAGTGCACATTGGACTGTCCTGCTCTGGAAATGGAACCAGGATCCTCTCATGGCCAAAATGGTCCTCAAGAAGCCCTGAGCAGAGGAAGCAGCATATACCTCAATGTCTGCTAAATCCCAAATGGAGTGCTGGGCACCCTCTGGCAGAGACAAGCAAACATTTCCAGTTATTCTGACCCAGAACTGCCCATGAGGAGTCAGCACTCATCCCAAATAAAATGTCCTCTGCTCGGTGTGGTTTTATAACTGGCAGAAAGATTTCCCCCCCATTAGACACTGGAAGACCTCCACAGCCACAGAACATCATGGAGGTCACAACCAAGGACATGGTGTCTGCCAAATTTCACACCCTTTCCAAACATCAGGGAATCACAGAATTGTTCTGGTTGGAAGAGACCTTCAAGATATCAAACACAACCACTGCTCCAGCACTGCCAAGTCACCCCTGAACCATGCTCCTAAGCAACACCCACATCTTTTAAATACCTCCAGGGTGTCAGCTATTATGACAAAACAAAACTCTAAAAGAACCTATGGTACTGGGTGTTTTCCCTAAACAAGATGAGGTCCAAGATGAGGCTAAGGACTGTGAGCTTCTCCAAGACATGGAAATATATCCATACATATATGATACATGGACATACAGATATCACCATACCCAAGCCTAATAAATAAGCATCCACTCTTCCACCTCCTCTAAGCCACCTGTTTTCCAGCAATTGCACTGTACCTTGCATGCTACACTGACCTTTAAACCACTTAATGATGAAAATCTTTGCAAGCTTTGACAATCTTTTTGCTTTTAAGCAGATGCTAAAAAAATCCATCTTCCAATTTGCACAATTCCACTGGTAGTTTTTTTGTTCTAAAATTTTTTTGTTTAAAAAAAAAGAATTTGCACAATTCCACTGGTAGTTTTTTTTTTGTTCTAAAAAGGTTTTGTTTTTAAAAAAAACAGTGGTTTCAAAATACCACTGCACCTCAAAGTTCCTTGGCAAGAACTTTCTCCCTTTCAGAAGCCTCTAAATCAATAATCACACTTCCCATGTAACGTGGAACTCCTGCTCTCTGCTGGACACTACTTCAGATTTCAAAGGATACAACCAATTAACACAGCAGGAAACCTGGCTGCAAAATTAAGACCTTCAGCTAAAATCTGAATTTAAAGGTTCAGATAAAGTTTTCAACTAAAATGACAGACAGGTACCACATGAAAAGCTTCTACTGCTTGTTTTATGATTCTACCTTCAAAAAAATAGCAACAGCTCATTCAAGACTTAATGGGCTATTTCTGAAAGTCTGAAACATGGGCAAGTTCCATGACTAATTCTTCAAAAATAGTTTCAATAAACACAACTACCTTCTTGGAGCAGAACTGATGTGTTTTGCACTTCATAGTACATGGAAAACAACAACTGGCTTTAACAAGAGCCTTCTTCAAGCCAACTGGTATTCAGATATTAATGCATGGGATCCCATTGAAATGGCACTGGAATTATATAGACAAAATCAGAAGGCTGTGTTACAAGATAGAAGATTTGATGGAACTAAGAAGGAGATACACAGTATGATCAGGTTGATGATGCTCACAAGATAAATGGGGACTGAAGCAAAGTTACTGTTCTTCACTGGTGTCCCTGATGTGTTCCTATCAAGGATCTTTAGTGTAGTCAGAGAGGAGCACACATCCCCTCAGTCAAATGGACAAGACAAACTCACTTTTGTTATGCTTATTCCTAATTTCTACTCTCCATTCCTCTCCTACCCACAGTAATTTATGGATTTCATTCCTTTTAACCATCCTTTCTTAGAACTTAGTGTCTGTACTTCGTAGTGTTCCCATACAACTTCAGATAGCATTCCAAGAAAAGGAGCCAACATATAGAAGATGGATGAGAATCCAGTAAAGTCTCTGCATGCCTCACTTCAAATAAAGCCTCATAAAAGTCTAGTGGAAACCAAGCACACCTAATGTTCTGGCTTACATGGCTCCTGGAGGAAAGGACTTTTGTTTTTTAAATAAAAAACCAGATGAGAGTCTGGTCAGTGACTCAGGTTCTTTCACTACAAAATAAAAACCCATTTCTATATTGCCAAATCAGAAAACCAGCTGAAAATCTGAGTTACTCAACCCCACCAATGGGGCTCTGAACAATCACTTACTGCTCATGTTCTTTGCACATGGGACTTTTGCAATCACCACCTCTCCTTCTGGCCATTTGGTACAAGTTTTAGTTTCCAAAGTGGACTATTGCCAGGGAGTTGCTCTGTAAATATTATTTCTGGAAATGATAGATTACTTGTGCACATGGTGATTAAAAACATCACAATTAACACCTCGTTACATCCCCAGGTGTATACTGGCATGTCCACCTATTGCCAGAGCCAAAAAAATGCAGCTGCTAAGCCATCCAGCTTAGCACTGTTCTTTCAGTGAGTGTCCTCAGTAAATACAGCTAAGTAGTGGCATCTAGGAGTTTCCTAAACTTAACTGAAAATTCAAACATATACCACACAAAAGCAGCTGTGCTGTATCAAAGGCTTATTCATTTTACCTGAACACATAGTTGATGTACTGTTGGTCCAGATCACTAGGAAAGGGGGAAAAGAAAAAAAGGTGTTTTTAGTAACAGCTCACTTGGTGTAGAGATCAGTGTATTGAGTAGTATTATAACACTATAATATTACACAATATTATTATATAGTGTATGACACCATGTTATAATTGGATAATGCATTATAACAATACACATGATAACCATATTGATATGATAATATTCTCAGCATATTAACTTACACATCATTTGCATTCGAGTTTGATATTTGGTATCCCTGTTGCTACTGGGTTAGTGGGAATCTCATTTCAAGTGAAGACAGGGAAAGTGCAAGGATTCAGGGTTTTTTAGGTACTCAGCCATTCCAGCCCTGTGAAGCCAGCAGCCAATAAACACTTTTGAGGCTGTCTGGCACAGGCTGATACTGACAGATTCAAATCATGCAGGTTTTGAGGCTAACACAAACTTAATATCTCCTCTCCATGCCTGTGCCAGTAATTAGGGGTTCTTGCCCAGCACTGGGTCATCACCCTTTGATAACATACTGTGTAAAATTCAGTGTTCTAGTGTAGCTATCAATGAACACATGCTATTGTTCTCACCAAGAATAAGACTCCTTTTGCAAGGGAAGACATTATTGATTAACCAAGAGTGGTCCAGCTCATGCTGGTAACACAAAGATCCCTACAGCTCACCCAACTGCTGCACAGAGGTGGCTCTAACCCTCCCTGAGACAATCTCTTTTCTTTTTTAAAAGAATATGAAACCACATTACCTTAGGGAGCTGGGTTTCCTTAACTTGTGGAACACTTTGTAAGCCCCTGGAATTGAAAAGACACGTGGAATTGCCATGACATGCAATTATTCTGATCAACAACAGCTTGTTTGGCCATGGTACCAGCAGATGTGGAACCCCCCCTGGGTTACAGCTCAGCAACATGGCACAAAGGATCCCTAAACTATGAATAAAACAAACCTATAGCTTCAAATTACTGGTTTTCAAAGTGTTGCCATTGAGTACTGTCATCCTATGTATTTCTGATAGTCCTTCTGAGGAAGAGACAAGTCCCACAGCAACTACAAAGGGGGTTGTGGGTACATGTATGTGTAAACACATACAGAAAAGTGTCACAGAATGGGTTCTTCAGTCCATGTCACTTTTTTGGGTAACTTTTACCATGTGTTCATCTATGTGGACCTCTACAGCTGTTGGCTCTGGGCCAATATCTCTCTAGCATTCCTCCAGCTCCAGGGTCTCCAGGCTCTTTACATTCTTGACCTACCTGCTTCTTGGTTACCTCCCATTTCTATTCTAGGAAAAGCTTTAAGCACTCAAGGAAGGAAGAGTACAACTCCAGGCTCTATTTTTTCAGACCCTTTCTTCAAGGCTTTGTGGATTGTTTTGGGGTTTTTTGTTTATTCACAAAGAAAACCAGAACATGAAAAGAAAATCCAGTAGAACACTATGGAATAGATGTCCTCAATTCTGTCTCCATCAGCAAAGCTTAAGGGTAGAACACTTCTTTTCTCTGTTGTGTTGTGATTTAATGTGTGCTAAGTCAGTTAATTTTTAGCCCTTTCTTGCAGCATCTTTAATCTGTGTTATTGGATAGGAAATCTAATTAAACCAAAAAAAACCCCAACAGTCATATCAACAACTTTCAGAAGCAAGAACAATGGAGAGAAGTTGTATTTTGAGCATAAACATTACATGGGCACCTCCTCCATGTTTCAAGCACACAGAAGAAGTCTCCTGAAGACTCTCCAAGCAGCTTCTCACCTCCATGGCCAAGCAGTGGTTTCCAAATGAGACCTCTCATCTTGGAGAAAACTGTACCACTCATTCCAGGAAACAAGTATTTAAAGGGAAAAATCCTGAGCTTTTTGTTTTATCTAAGTGGTTCAAATGTTTATCATTTAATATTTCATAAAGAAAAAAAAAAGAAGGGTTTATTTCTTATTTGTATGTTAACAAGACTTTCCAATGGGATCTTTGGACCTTCCCAGACAAACATACATAGAAACAAATAAACCCTGCCCTGAAAATGTTACAGTATGAATAGACAAAATAAAGAATTTGCAGACAAGGCAACCTATGAATGAGTCACTTGCTAAGTCTATAGGACAGCTAAGAACCAACTACAAGTCTCTTATTATCCAGCCTCAAAAAGATGCAAATCTCTTAGTTAAAAATTGCTACTCTTGTTTCCTTCAGATTTTCTGGGTCTGACTGCTTCTAGTTTTTCAGGGAAGAAAATTTATCCAAATAAATGTTTACTCTGAGTAAGACAAAAGAAAACCTTACAGGTCATGCACCTCATGGCTAAAATATTTTAAAATGCATATGATTGCATAAAAAACCCCACATTTCAACATCCTTCTGGGAGCATATTCCATTATACTTTAGAATATTTTAATCAGTTTTTAAATAAAATCAGTGTGGGCAATAAAGCCCCAACTGTAAGTTATTGCTGTTTTTTTTCCATGTTTTCTTTCCCCTCAGAAAGGAGTGTCTCTTAGCAGACAGCCACCAAAAACTCCCAGAAAAGGTCAGTGCTCATTTAAATTGTATTTTCTCACACACTGATTGCAATATCTAGTTTATTCTGTTGTTTTCAACGTAAAAGAATGTATTTTCTTATATTTACTGAGCTTCTTCACTCCTCCCAAGTGTTTTTTACAGCAATAACCTTAAATATCAGTAACTTCACAACAAAGTTGACTCACTTCTCCAACACATTTACTCTTTGCAACTCTTTTTCCAAAAGAAAATGACTTACCCACACAGATCAAGTGAATTAGAGCCCATAAATAACCGTTGGGATCAAACTGCAATGAAGAACATCAACAAATGCACATCCATGTAAACATACATATTCATCATTTCCTTGGGATCAAACTGCAATGAAGAACATCTACATCAATAAATGCACATCCATGTAAACATACATATTCATCATTTCCCAGCAGTCCTGGCTAACAGGGGAGGGCCTGGATGGATGGCTGGGGACTTGAGCATCTATAAGAAAGGCTGGAAGAAGGATCTGGGGAACTACAGGCCTGTTGGTCTGACTTGGGTACCAGGGAAGGTTATGGAGCAGTTCATCTTGGGGGTGATCATGCAGCAAGTGCAGGAGAACAGGGGGATGAGGTCCAGCCAACATGGGTGCATGAAGGGCAAGTCCTGTTTGACCAACCTGATCTCCTTCTATGGTCAGGTGACTGGATTTGGAACCAGTCTTGTTTAATGTCTTTATCAATGCCCTGGGTGAGGGCATCGAGGGCACCCTCAGTAAATTTGGAGATGACATGACATTAAGTGTGGATCTGCTGGAGGTTGGGAGGCTCTGCAGAGGGGTCTGGCCAGGCTGGAGCCATGGGCTGAGGTCAGCTGGATGAGGTTGAACAAGGCCAAGGGCTGGGTCCTGCACTTGGGTCACAACAGCCCCAGGGAATGCTCCAGGCTTGGGGAGCAGTGGCTGGAAAGTGCCTGGAGGAAAGGGACCTGGGGTGCTGGTGGCCAACTGACCATGAGCCAGCGTGTGCCCAGGTGGCCAAGAAGGCCACAAACATCCTGGCCTGGCTCAGAACTGGTGTGACCAGGAGCAGGGAGGTGATCATGCCCCTGGGCTGGGCACTGGTGAGACCTCACCTTGAGCACTGTGTCCAGTTTTGGGCACCACAGGGTAAGAAGGACATGGAGGGGCTGGAGAGGGGCCAGAGAAAGGCAACGAGGCTGCTGAGAGGGCTGGAGAACATCCCTTATGGAGCCCAGCTGAGGGAACTGGGGCTGTTTAGTCTGGAGAAGACTGAGAGGTGACCTTATTGCTCTCTACAGCTCCCTGAAAGGAGGTTGGAGTGGGCTGGTGTTGGTCTCTTCTCCCAAATTACTGATGATAGGACAAGAGGAAATGGCCTCAAGTTGTGCAAAGGGAGGTTTTGATTGGACATGAGGAAGAATTTCCTCCCTGAGAGAGTGGTGAGGCACTGAACGGGCTGCCCAGGGAGGGGGTGGAGTCACCATCCCTGGAGGTGTTAAAAAAATGAGTAGATGGAGCACTTGGGGCTATGGTCTAGTGGTTAGGGAGATTTTGGGATGAAGGTTGGACCTGATGATCCTAGAGGTCCTTCCCAACCAGAGTGCTTCTAAGATTCTGATTCTGTATCACTATTTCCCTGCAGTTAGCTTCACAAAGCCAGGACAGTGAGTGGGAGCTATGCTATAAAGAAAAAGAAGATGAAAAGACTGGGAGGACTTTTTCCTGTCCTGCCTAAAGACCTGGCATCTGCCAGTTACCCAGGCTGTCAGCTCATTTTGGCAAGAATAGCTCTTTCAGACAGGTACATAACTCTCTGCAGCAGCTAAGCAGTCTCTCTCCCCAAGGCAGAGCATTAAGAGAGTGCTGCAAACAGACATCTGTCTCTGGTAGGCTCTCTCCACAAGCAGTGGGGGAAAAAATGAACATTTTTGAGAGTTCATCTGTCATTTTATAGATGCCTGCTTTCAGGAGAGGTGAATTATACACCAGAAGCTCCTGCTCTGCACTGTGGACTGTGAAGGGAGCTAGCATAGCTGCAACACTTCTGATGGCTACAGGTCATCAGATGCATCCAGACAAGCTCCTGCATTCATCCCACTTGATTTCAGATATTTAAAGTATCTGAAACAAGGGAGCTGCCTTCCTAAGTCTCCAAGAGAGGAAAGCACCTCCAAAGAATAGATCTCTGCTGATCTAGATGACATCTACAGTTCCTTCACTGGAATCCCACCCTAGTTTGCAAATAAAAGCTGCACCCCTCCTGTGCTAACAAGATGTCAAACACCCTGGTGTAACCAGAGCAGCTTTCCAAAGCAGAGCTTACCTGTGTGTCACATAAAGGAAGGCACACTGCTGCTACCAGCAGGAACAGCACGCTGTGGAGAAGAGAAAAACCCAAACAAACAAGACCAAAAGCTTGTAAAGTGCTTTTTGGACTGCCAGCAAACAGGCAGCTCCACTCACTTCTACACTAACGTTTTGGTTTCGTTTTTATTCAGATTTTAAAAGTAGCTTCTGCCACCCCAATTGTTTGGCATCATGCATTCTTCACAACTCACACCCAGCAATGCTGGGTGAGAAGAGAAGCAGCACCAGACACCTCAGCACTGATGGAAACAAGGGTCTTTGGTAGGGAGTGATATTCTTCACTTGCCATCCAGCTTCCCCAGGGTCCTTCAGAAAGCCCAAATAATCAATTTATGGCTGTGAATTGCTACCAAAAAGTTCTTTCATTAAGATGATTGCCTTAATGGCTTAAGGGCAGCACAAAGCCTCCCCCAGCCCACTGACTGGGACTAAATAAATTCTCAACCTGTGGCTGAGTCAGTATTTCTGCAGGCTGCACTGAATTCCACTATTAATAACAACAAAAATTTGCTTTTGCAGCTTATTTTCCTGCTCCCTATGGGCAGAGGGAAACAGAAAAAGAGAAGATACAAAGCCAGGTATCCTTGACAATAATCCAGTGATGAAAACAAGGCCACAGAAAGTCAGATAATGGAAATAACAGGAAGAAATCAGGAAGATGGTGCCTCTAAGTACAGTAAATAATAATTAATTATCCACTCTATTTACAGCTGGAGGATTACACAATGTGGAGGGCAGCAAATATGCATTCTTCAGAGGGATGGGGGAGGGATGAAACTTTGACTACACAACTGGACAACTTCTGTTTGTTCCTTTTTGTTTCCTTTGTGAAGCCTAAACAGAGGCAAATGAGGAAGGTTGTGCAGCTTAATAGGAATTATTCTGGCAGAACTGGCTATCACACACCTTCTCTTTCCTAGGAAAGGCATTTCTAGCTGTTTTCTATCACAGTAATTATCTTTTTCTTACTGTGTAAGATCACCCACTGGAACTTCAAGCCTGAGCTCCTTTCCAAAAACATACTCACAAGGACTGCTTTGTTATTCATGAAGATTGGCCTTCTGGTTTTTTGTTTGTTTTCACAAGGAGAAAAATATGTATCTAGTTAATCAAATGTTAAGGCAAAAAAAGAAACTACATTTTAAAAATATTTAATTACTCCTATGTTGCAATTTAGGCTCACTGCCCACAGGAATGTGCCTTACATTCCTCATTGTTTTGGTGTGCCATTATCTGAAGCAAATACAGAAGCTGGAGCCAGAACAAGTCTGAATCTGAATCTGAGCAGTTTCACAAGCTTACCTACAGATTTTCAGAGGAGAGGTCTGCTGTAAAAAAGAAAGGATGATTTAAAAAATTAAAAATTAAGAATAAAAGCAGTGAAATAGTGCTTTCCCCTTACAAAACCAGGGAAGTGATGATAGCTGATCCTACTGCACCGAACACTAAACATCCAGTGAGCTGCCTTCAACAGCCCATTATGTTTGAGCACTGCTTAGCAAACTTAACTTGAAAAAAAGAACCAGGATTACAGGTTAACCTACTTCAGTTTGATTTAAATCTTCAGATTACTTACCAGCATGTAAACCCAAAAGCAGACATGAACTTCATACCTCATCCTCAAACTTCAACTCTACCAAAACTGTGCTGTGTATGTCCTCAAATATTGAGTATTCTTATTTCATTGGGTACTACCCCAGAAATCAGTCTTGGACTAAACTCAGGAGAGCTTCCCCAAATCTTGGGTGCAAAATTATTCTCTGGAAACTTGCCAGCAAGACCTGTGTTTGCATTATCCTTGTGCATGGTGCTTTTGTTTTCCAAGAGAGGAGGCATAAACATGTGAGCTAGAAGGAAAATATGAAACTCTTAGACAGGGACACTAATCAGAGGACAATGCCACAGGAACATGCCATGGTACACAGTGCTATGTCCCTTAGATGGAACCTTAGTGATGTCTTCACCTTTCCAGCAGTAGCAAACATGGGCTATTTATTTGTCTTCTATATCCACAACAGAGGTAATGACTGGAAGATCCCTTCCACAGCAAGCCAGGGGCAACTGTACAAACTCATTTCCCAGTGTTGCCTCACACAGCAGCTCTCTGGTCAATTAGAAAATCATTTCTTAGCCTAAAAAGAAGGTTCCCCAATATAATTTGTGAGAAACAAACCCAGCTCTTAGTAAAGGGAGCAGGAATTACTTTCTTGACTCTTAATAGGTCTTGGGACAGATTCTCAAGAGTTGAAAACAAATCCAAAACTCCACTTTTTTCCTGCATTTCATGCAGAGATGTGATCTGTGTATTGTGACCACATCAAAATTTGGATATATTACACTGGTTAGATCTAAGGATCCAGTCCTCCTCCCTCTCAGCTCAATGACATTCTTACATGGGGCACAACAGAGAGGCAATACTCCTCTTCAAAAGGAAAAAAAAGCAGCAGGGCAAAGCCAGTCTTAAAAATGCAGATCAAAATGTCAATCTAGGTTTGCAGCACTTCATCAGCTAAAGGAGAAAAGAAAACATCAATGCAGGTATTTGTTAACAGCAAAGTCCCCTCTGGGTCTCATTAGTGACTAGGGATCACAGCAAAGGGAGAGAAGCACATGGCACTAATGCCCATATTAAAAGAAATGAGGTGACTCCTCCCAGGGCAGCTTTACCCCAGGAGGTACCCTGAATGTGTCTGAGCAGCTCAGTTACCTCTTTCTGCACCAGTCTCTCAAAGCCACACGTTATCACTTCGGCTGCGCTGTGCACCGTGAGGAACACGGGGATTGGCTGCCAGGGGGAGAAGAGAAACACCACAATCAACCTACAAGTCACACCCAGGAAGGGGCACTCCTCTCAGGGACAGCTGGTTTGGGGGTTTGGTTTGGTTTTTAAGCTGTCAACCCAGGCCACATCTTCTAAAGGGGGCTCGGACCTGTTCCAACAACTGTTGCAGGGCAGAGGGATCTTTAAAAGCAGCCTCTGCTTGCTCCTCCTCCCACTCTGGAGTGCTCACAGCTTGTCTGTACACAGCCACCTTGGTGAGGTTTGCTCCAGGTTCTTGCCTCTCTGGTCAAACATCTGCAGCTTCCCCAGTAAACAGTTCTCCTTAGTTTTTCCACCTCTTGTCTCCTGGTACTAAGAACACAGAGTGACTCCTAGCAACAGAACTATGGGCAAGATGATTTTGGGTGATTGCTATCAATTACTGCTAGGAAGAGCTGCCCAAAATGAGGGTAGAAATAGAATAGTTCATACACAAGTGGTGTTGAAATTCTTCCCACTGAGGTATCTGGACACCATCCCAACATGAAATCACTAAGGAACAAACCCCAGTGATAACAATAATGAATTAAACACCCACTGCCCCAGGCAAACCCAACCAGAATTAGTGGCTCATAATACTTCCTCCAAATCAGATCCGTGGTCTCTCAGGCAGCTGAAACAGAAGCAATCCTCTGCTCTGATTAAGATAATCTAAAGCCTAGGGTAGCTGGAGGAAGCAGCATTTCCCCACTTGTGTGTAGTATTTAAATCATTTAATGAGTTAATTTCTCAGCCATGTCCATGCCTTTTAAGTATCAGGTGATATAAGCAGCAAATATCTCATAAATTTATCTTGGTGTTCAGAAATCTGTATCTTCTGGGTTTTTCTCTTCATCCCCACAAAGCTAGATAAACATCACTAATTAAACATTTTCAGTCAGACTGACAACTTGGGTGGATCACAACAGCTACACCAAGATCACTTTTAACACCTCTGAATTAGCAAGCAATGAAAACCACACAAACACCACTGGCTTGAAGCTGTCAGCCCCAGCTCTGCTGATTCTGAAAGCCAATTCTCAACCCTGCTGCTGGACAGCTGAGAACACAGAACCAGAAGTATCCAACATAAGCATCCTAAGCCTGACACAATAATAGGAAATAAAAGAAATAACCAGAGACAAGGAAAGCTGACAAGAGAATTTACATTCTTCCTTTAGTGAAGCCAATTTATTGGGTTTTTCTTTCCTCCCTCCTGCTTTTGGCTCTTCCAAACATGTTTTGGAGCCAACAATGGCTCCAGTTTGCCTAGCCCAGTTAACCTTCTCCATATGCCTATTGTCTTTGAGGTGAATAATTCTGAAATTTGTGAGTGGGCTTGATGCTTACAAAAAGAAGGGTTTACTGGTTGGGCAGGCAGGGTGAATAGACTCTGTGCAAACCTCCCCTTAAAGCTCTGCATACTTTTGTGAATGCATCACAGTTGAGAGCTAGGCAGCCCTCCTCCAGCTCCAGCCCTGGACTCCTGGGCAGGGGAGACTGCCAGCACCTCCAGGGAGAGGCACAGAGATGAAGACTGGAGCCCTGAGAGTACAGAGGAGTGTTTTAAAGGGCCTCTCCTTGGCTTTGATCAAAAGAGGGCAGATAATTTCTGCTTTAGGAATAAATCTACTTAGTTCAAACACACTGCTGAGGTGAGCCAAGTCAGGTATGAGTTTGGGGGAGTCCATTTTTCTTCTGTGTCATAAAACTGTTGCACGCAAAGTTATTGGAACTAAAAGTTCTATTTAGAATTTAGTCCCAGTACAAGGCATTGCATAGTAACTATGAGCTTGTCCTTCTGTCTTTCACCCTAAAATGGCCATAGAATTAGGCCTTGAAATCCCCATTCATAAATGGGAGGTGCTCCTTAAGAAAGGTTTGGGATACAAATCAAAACCATCCACAGACTCTCTGCCACTCTCTCAGTCTCCAATGACCAGAGCAGGGACAGAAGGGAAACAAGGCAACCTACAGGTTGACTAGGAAGGCAGAAGAAACAGCAGAGAGGATGTGATTCATACCTCCTCCACCTCCCAGGTGAGCAGCAAAGCTGCTTCTGCCAAGGCTTTATTGCTCTTTCCAGGCAGGGCTGTCCTCAGGGATCTGTGCTTGGTTTACACCAGGGAAGCCCAATGGAACTTGCTTTGATAAGGAGTAAGTAAATGGAATCACCCCAAGACAGAGCTCATCTGGAGGCATGGGACTTCTGAGAACATGCCTCTGCTTTCCAAAGGTCACCTGGGTCCAGGATGAGGCTCCAGCCTTGTTTGTGAGGACAGATACCTCACATCCTCTGCTCTTCTCTCTCTCTACTGGCATGTCCAAGGGATCACTACAAGCAGAACCTTGTAAAAAATGCCCTTTTGAGGCTTCTTGGGGTTTAGGAGCTGGGAGGAGCAAGCTGGTTCTGGTTCTGGAACTAGATTAAGGAGCACTGACAGAATGCAGGAGGAACCAGTGCAGAGTCTGGCCTTGCAGGGTGTATAACAGCAATACAACATGGCTGGTTTTTAAAAACTCATCTCACTGCTTTTTTGCCTTTTTTTTTTTAAGAAAGGCTACATCATTTAAGTAAAAAAACCAATGAACTTTAATGAAAGAAGATTTTCTACCTTCTAAACATTTAGTAGATTAATGTGATTCAAATGGATCACAAAACTGATTAACCCTTCCAATAATCTCTTCCAGCTTTCAATTTATTTTTTGAAATCCTCTGAAGTATCCAAAGCCTCCCACTGAAAAGGTCTTTATGCTTTTTTGTGGAAGATGTTCCCACAGCCCTTTTAGCCTTATTCTCCTCCCTTTTGCAGAGTTACAGCTAATAACTTCTTCAGCTCCTTCCCTACCTGCACAGTTCAGACCACTGAGGATCTGCTCTGCAAAACACTGAGTTTTCCAGAGTGATGCTGTAACAGAGAAGTGACTTTTACTTGTGCCTTTCTTACCAATCTTGACAGTGCCCTGGAGCCAGCATAAATAATGCCAACAAACAGTACTGAGGCAGGAAGCCAGGCCAGGATTTCAGACCTGTGGAAACAATTAAAGTCCCATTACTTCACCTCATTTACATAGAGAGAGCAAAAGTTGCTTGCAAGGAATATAATCATACATCTATTTCATATAATCATACATCTATTTCCAAGGTGTGCATATTAAATTCATTGTTCAGTAGCCCTCCTGTGCAGGAAAGAACTCTGAGACAGAAATGAATCACTCCTTCCTTGGCTCCTTTCACTGCACAATTGTTTTGTTTCATAGCAATCAATCCTATTGGTTTTAAGGGGGAGAAACTTCAACTAATTTCCTCAGTGTGCTGTAAAAGGAAGAAAATCTGACAAAAGAAGCCCTAAAATGGAGTAGCTGCACAGCCAGCACACGTTTTCACTATGCACAAATACACTTGTCTACCCACACACTCATTTCTCAGCCAGATTTACAAGGAGGTTCTTCCTAAAGATCAGATTGTCTCTGTGGGAGCCTGTCTCTTGAGAGATCCTAATGATACTCCTTCTACTAAGCAAAACTCCTAGAAGCAATCTGACAGCTAATGGAGGAATGAAATCATCACAGATTGATTTATTTTTTCTCTAGCCATGGTTACTGCAGAAGGGTCAGGTTTCAGTTCTGAGAACAGGCTTCAGAATTTGCATTTTTCCTTTTTTTTTTGATCTTGATACTGAAGGGGAAGAAGGCATCATGTAGGTGGAAAACTTCAGAGAGAATAACAAGAGGAGGAAAGGAATAGCAGTGGTCTAAAGGCCTGAACCAAAGGCCTCCTAGGATTGAAGACACTGCTATCCCCATTCACTCCTTCCAAGCTTTGAAGTCAAGAAAATGTTAATGAATCATACTGGTTCCCAAAACCAAATTGCTTGTAGTTCCTTAATTTGGATTATGTTTCCAACTAGGATGTGAGAATTAAAACATAATTGCAGGTACAGCTACACTACCACACTGCATGGAACAAAGGAAAAACAGACCACTCATCATAGAACCAGAACAGTCTGAGTGAAGATAAAACATGGACAAAGATCCATGTAAACACAGACAAGGGAAAAAAACCCTAAACATCATCTTTTTGATTTTTTTTTTTTTAATATACATAATTTTCTAAGTTACTTAGTCAGAAAAAAAACCAGGGTAATGAAAACAGAGTAATCTTAAGATGCTTTCACTAGCATGAGTATTTGCTGGTTTTTGGAGGTAATCACCATCATTTTTTACAAAAACACTGTTCCTTTTAAGGTCATTTTCCTCAACTGGAATTTCACCAGGATCTGTCCCACCTCATTACCAGTGAGTTCACATCAGGAATCAACAAAAATACCCCTACCCTATTGGAACAGCAATAAATGGAACAAAGGGGGAAGAGAAGAAGAGAAAGGAGGGCTGGGAAAAGGAAAGGAACACAATGAAAACTGGATTTTCATTTAGAACATAAATGAAGCTCCTTCCATGCTCCCCACCACTAAATTCTGGGAATCCCAAACATATCTTCACCTTCAATGACCCCCTACAAAGCTTGGGCAGAGGCTGTGTGTCAGATCACAGTGCTGGAAGCAGTGTGCAGGTGCCAGACATGTTCCTAATATGTCTTTTGGAGCAAGACAGATTAAAACACATGGATTGGCTGAATTATAGCCAAAAGAGATAAATTAATTCTAGTAATTTCATTCAGTCTATTCTAGAAAGGGCAAAATGATGAGCTAAACTGATGAAGTTTCTCAAGGGGTATTTGAATCCCTTTTCCTATCGTGTGCTGGCATCTAGTGGCCTGAAGTCAAAACAAACTCATTTTTCACCAAAACTTTTCTTAGATGAAGGCCTTATTTTCAGCAGCAGAAAATGGTTCTTGGCCAGTGTTTTCTTTAAGGTGTTTCAAGTTTTGAAAAACCAAAAATCTCTTTTCCCAGCTGGAAAGAAAGATTCAACTTCTTTAATGTCATGAGTTAAAGCACGAGTAATCACCTAGTGAGGAGAAGTTGAACTGAACAGTATGCCACTGATGGTTGTGTTCCTTTTTCTTTAGACTGAAGCCTACACAGAAAATTCATCAAGTGATACCTGCTAATGAAGCAGAACACACAATACACACACCCCAACTTATATTTTACCAAGTCAGTAACTTCCACCATCAGCTTAACTAGGTCACAACCCAGCTACAGAAAACAGGCATTTAGCAGCTACTGGAAACCCCACAGTACCTTGAACACAAGTTTATCTCCACCCAGCCCAGCTTCCAGGAGACATGAAGCAGAAGTCCACCCACTAATGTCTGCCACCTAAAACAGAGACAAATAAGCACTTGTGAATTGTTTGTCCTTCTTAGCCATGTAGACCATAACCTTAGAATCCTCAGAATTTCTCCCAGCACACCCATGACTCCAGTTATCTACCAGTTCTCTGGGTTTGCCACCACTCCCTTCTGAATCCTTCATTTTTGTGGACCTTCATTTCCCTCAAATTTCTTAATACTCTGGTTCTTCTACCACCTATTCCAAATGTTTTGTAAATTCCCATCTGAAGATGCAAGGGAGGCAAGGTTGGTGACAAGATAAACAGCTTTTCACACATCAGCTGTTATTGTTAGAACAAATAAACACAATTTCAGGATTCAAAGACTCACTTCAGCTGAAGCAACAAGCCCCAAGGATGAGGCAGAGTTCAAAATATTAGTCCTATGACTTCCTGTGGTTCTTCATGCTGGGCTTAGATCACAAACTCCCTTGAACTCAGCCTGCTTCCCCACCCCCCAATTCTGGTGCAGCAAGCACCAAGTGAAGTTTCATGAACCATAACATCATGCTGCTGCACGAGCCTCAGGTTCAGAGCCCCTAGAGAAAACATCTTCACAGCCAGATAACCCTGCAGAGAAACCACAAAACTGGGGTTTCCTCACTGAAAACAATTACACACCTTCTGCACTGACTTAACCACCTCATGACTTACCCTGCTCTGAAGGTATTCCCTAATTTGTTATGGACATGCTAAGTGAGGCCTTAGAAATGCTTGTGGAGAAGATAAAATTAGTAGTAACACACACTGGGTTTTTTTTTTAAGCTTTAAAATAAGTTATTATCTTTCTTCTTCCTTAGCTAGTGGTTTTCAGAGGGGTGCTTTGTGTTTCTTGGGTTAAAATCCTTGACCACCTAGCAGAGCTCAGACAGAGGTAGAACACAGTGTTAAATCACATGAACATTTGTCACAGGTACAGAAGTGGTTTTATTTATTAATCTCTATTTATGGCAATGCACTGAAGCAGTTATTTAAAAACTCTCTCACAGATGGGCAAAGTTATTCACTCTATGCAATATTACCAACAGTTGGACAGTGTTAGAGCTCATTGTCCACATGGGTATGGTGAATATTCAGTGTTATTATCACAGCTCACTTCACCTTTTTCAGCTGAGGAGCCTTTGAGAGCTTAAAAGTTAGGTATGACTGATATGTGCTGCAGGCTTGACCCTATTCCAAGCCAGTGATGTATTCCCCTCAACATCATTGTGAAGAATTTCCTCTTGTCTCAGGTTTTATGGGCTGAAGTTGAAGGTAGGAAGAGTTCCAGGTGCTTAGCACTGTGCAATATAGTCTTAGATTAAATAGGTAACAAAACCAGTGAAAACAAACAGTAACAGCATGACCTGAGAGGAACACACTCTTCCTCCCTTGCTCATCTGTCATAGCTCTAAAGGAAAGCACTTAATAATCAAGAAAAGGCCACTTCTAAAAGCCAGAACTTGTGAAAAAATATTATGCTGCTAAAATGTATTTCCAAGTAACAGAAAAAGCACAGAACTGTGGTAACACAGATGTCATAAGGCAGTTGCTTGCCATTGAAATACACTTTTTTACTGCTGATTTGCCACCTTTGCATTTTACATACTCAAACTGCTCTCCTCCCAGGATAAAAGCCTTGCCCAAGGGACAGTCTGTGGGTGTTAGAACTGAAAAAAAAAGCATTCATTGCATATTTAACCCATCTGAGTACACTCAAAGAAACTGGAGGTTCCCAAGGCAATTATTCCTAGAGTTGATTGCAGTCCTGGGACTGCAAGTCAGCCCAAATTATAGCCATGCTAAAAACCAACAGAGGAATTAGAGATACCCAGTGTCTGCAGATTTTACTATGAGCTCAAAAGGACAAATGGGTGAAGTCTTAAGAGGCCAGATTTTCACTAAACATCTCACTAATTATTAATAGCAGTGATTGTCTGTATGGATACTTGACACAACATTAAATTTCTCATTATAATATCAAGCTGCAACAAAGGCTAAGCATGAAAACCAGCAATATGGTATTTGGGTGTGCTTGAGGACAGGTTTAATGTTGGTTTTCATTAGCATAGTGAAAGAATACACCACAACAGCACATCAGTGTCATTCCCAAAGAAGACAGGCTGCACTATAATTGCTACTTTTCTATGCTGAAGCATGAGTTTCAGAAAAATAAAAAAATCAGAGTCTATATATCTTAATCACATCACTGTAATCAGGTTTAAAAATTAACCAAGACACAATAATCAATGTTTTAATAAGGCTTCATGATGTATGTTCTCTAGCCAGCAAAAGCCATTAATGACAAGAGGTATTAAAGTTGGCTTCAGCAAGAGATTTCATGATTAAAGTCATTTTTCAAGCAACTGTATTCTTAAAATGGTACTTACCCTTGAAAAAGGGTAGGGTAGGTAAATTTCAGGACAGACAGGACATACTGGAAAACAAATACCAAATTAAGAGACATCAAACACCTACCATTACAACGTCAACAAACAACCACAAAGGCAACAAAACACAAAATGTTTCTACCAAAATAAAGAAAAAAAATAATAACCACCCTGTAATTTCTCTTCCCATGCCAGAACTGGTGGATGCTGCCCCAGGTGCTGTGGGAGGCAGCAAACACTAAAGTCCATGAGTGCACACACACTGAATGATGGAGAGGAGGCAACCCAAATTGCTTCCACTTTCTGGCACACTATTCCTTGTACTGATTAGGAAAAGCATAAAGGAACCAAAAGACACAAGCACTTGTAAATAAAAATCATATCATACCACTGAAGCTACTTTTGGCAGAACCAAGACAAATAATATAATTGTCTCCTGATTATTAACTCATCTTACAGACCTAACATTCTGTTCACACACCATTTTGTGTACAATATTAAGCAGTCCATAAAGCCCTTTGGAGAAGTAATATAGAGGGGCAAAGAAAGCAAAGTTTCTATGTCATTGCTTTAGCATCCTTTGTCAGGCTCTGCCTGTATGGATGCTAGTGCCTTTGCCCCCTATATATGTGTATGTGCAAATATGAGGCTGGAATACATCCACCTTTTGAAGGATGTATCAGGATCTATCAAATTCCTGTCAAGAAGTTTATAAATACTGTTTCTGCAAAGGAGAAGAACAACTGAAGCTTCCTCAGAGGAAAGGAAAGGTACCTGCTGTTCCTTCCAGGAGCCAGCAGAAGCTGTTGATGGCCAAAGGAGAAGGTGGAAGCTTTCAGCAGAGAGAAAACTTTTCAAAGTCTGTTTTTTAGGTGCAGGGAGTGTCACTAAGAAGCTGGTGTCAATATGCAGAGGCAAGACATGTTGATTGACACCAGGTCATGTTACACGTGGACTTACCTGAACTGCCACATGGGTATTAAATCATCATGATATACCTGCACGTGTCCACACCCCACCTGCACTTACCACCTGCAACAACTGAAAGGTCTATGTTCTGGTTATTTTTTCCTTTATTACACTAAAACCTACATTCAGGTTTGAAAATGGAGGCTCTGGGTCAAAGTCCTTCCAACCTCCTCCCAAGCAGAGTTCAGCCAAGCACCTTTCCAAGGCATGATGCAATCTGGCAGCACTCCTAGCCCTTTCCTGTTTCACTGATCACTACCCCTAGCCATCTTTCACATCAAATCTGCTACCTCTCCCTATGAATTCTGCTTCACATCTGGACTTCAGTTTACTCCTGGCCATCCCTAATGGCAAGTGTATCTCAGAACACACACCAGTGGCCAATGCTGAGAAGCGATTTCATTTTTACCTCTGAAATGCTGCTTTTCCCTAACTCTATCTCAGGAAATCCACACCCTGATTGCTTCAGAAACGTCTTTTCTTTCAGAAATCGGCACCAGAAACAGACAGCAAGGAGGGGTTAATTCTACCTCCTCCTCCCCGAGTGAAACAACTACTTCAAACCGTGTTGAAGCTCCACAATTATCATCCCCAGTGTGACCATCTCCAGCTTACTCCTGCTTAGATATTTCAGCAGTACGAATAGGCAGTTCAGTTGCACAGTGGAAAACAGACTTCTTGTCTTTAATTTGCAGATGATTTAAATCCTCAAAGAGTCCACGGAAACTATTTATGTCATTAGTGCTGCAACACTTGGACCACTTCACATTTTTCCCTTGGATACCAGGTATTATTATTCCAGTTAAGAGATATTCCGCTGGGAAGGACCGTGCATTCAGATAACAATCAAGAAACACATTCAGCATCACCGATGCTTTCAAATCAGCGGAACTTGTGGCTCCAGAACTGACCCTCCATCCTTTGAACCGCACCGCCGCCCCTCTCCACCCTGCGGAC